AACAAAAAAAAAATTAAGCTGTCAGTTCTAAGTCACACAGTGTCAGAGCTGTCTCACTTAGTGTCGGGAGGGGCCAGAGTGATAGTAAGAGGGTAAGGTACTTGCTTGGCACATGGACAACCTGTATTTGATGCCCAACACCCCATATAGATCCCTGAGCCTCTCCAAAAGTGATCCCTGAGCACAGAGTCAGAAGGGAGCCCTGAGCCCAGTCAGGGCTAAAAAACCAAAAAACTGAAAATGTTCCAGGGAATTCAGGCAGCCACATTCTTAATCAAGATGCAATTTCAAATTTGCGCAATTGTTCCCATGCCCACCAAGCCCACACAGGAAGCCATTGGCTACTCAGCCACATCTATTCCTACCCCTCCACGTCCCATCTCACAAACTCTAGATGGACATCCTTCTTTCCCTGTTGTAGGATTGACACCTAAGATGACGCCACATCCGCCCACCATCTACTTAAGCTCCCACATGGCCATGATCCAGAGACACACAAACAAATCTCAGACCCTAGCAACTTGCGGCAGAGATGGCCTGAGACTTTGCAATAGGCCTGGCACACTGGGTAATTCAGGTTCAGTCCCCAGCACCCCATTGGGTTCCCTAAGCTCCACCAGGAGTGGTTCCTGAGTGACAAGCCAGGACTGTGTCCTGATCACTGCTGGGAGTGACCCCAAAACAGAAATAAATTAAAAAAGGAAATTTTCATCATAAAGAGACTTTTCTTGAAAACAAGGACTCCCTAGGGAGTTGTAAATAGTTCTAACTTAGGTATCAAAGAATTCCAGTAGCTGAAGGGCTAAAGAAATGGTCTCTTTTAACTGTCCCCTTATGTGTCGTGGCATATTATTCACATAAACAAAACATGAAAACAAAGTAAGTGTCAAGTATCTTGCACAGATTAATGGATGAAGAAAACATAACATATACATATGCAATGGGGTAAAACTGGCACTTTTAAAATAAGAAAACCCTGCCTTTTGCAACAACATGAATGAACTGGAGGGCATTATGCTAAGTGAAATAAGTCAGACTGAGAAAGGCAAATACTGTATGGTATCACTTACATGTGGAATTTTAATAAGTCAAACTCATAGAAACAGGATAGAATGGTGGTTGCTAGCGGCTGGAGGGAGGGTGGGGGTAATGGAGAGGGGTTAGCAGAATCACAGAAACTTTCAGTTATAAGATGAATAAGGTCTGAGGATGTAACACACAGCATGGTGACTATAGTTAATTATCCTGCATTGTATACTTGCAATTTGCTAAAAGAATAAATCTTAAGCATTCTCACTTCAAAAAAATAAAAAGGTACCTATAGGAGGTGATGGATGTGTTAATTACCTTGATTGTGGTATTCATTTTACAATGCATGCATATATCAAATCATCATGTTGTACACTTAAAATATATTGCAAATTATTTGTAAATTATGCCTCAATAAAAGTGTGAAGACCAAAAAAAAAAAAAAGGAATGCTCTCTTGATCAAAATTACAGGACAGGGACTAGAGAGATAGTATGGCAGGTAAGGTATTTGCCATCTACGAAGTTGACCAGATTAGATCTCTGGCATCCTATATGGTCCCCCAAGCACCACCAGGAGTAATTCCTGAGTGGAGAACCAAGATTAACCCCTGCCCCCTGAACATCACTGTGTATGGCTTAAACCACCTCCCCACCTCCAAAAATAATTACAGGACATTGCTGGAAATGATACATCTAAGGATGTAACATACAGCATGGTGACTATAGTTAATTACCCTGCATTGTATACTTGCAGTTATCCAAAAGGGCAGAGCTAAGGGGACCAGTGGGCTGGAGCTATATCTTATGTGTGCATGTGCACAGTTTGCATCCTTCAATGGAAGAGTCAGCCTGTCAGCCAAAGGTAGGCTGAGAAATGCACTTATAATACATGGTCGGAAAGGATATGATGGCCTACCTGTTCTCTTGTTTTTCATGAGTCTTGCCATCTCTGGACTTAGATATTTGGATGCTGGTATAGTTATAGATATCTGGAGAGATAAGCATGCATGCCGAGTTACATGCACACATAAATGTTTGAATAAGGGTCCCCCAAAGAAATAGAACCAATAGAAGATATAGACAGATGATAGGTACAGAGAGGGACACGGACATGGATATGAACATGGATATATAGATAAATTGATGCTTGCTTCTTATGAAGAATTGGCTTGTATGTTATGGAGAGTGAAATGCCAGGATCTGAAATCTGAAATATGGACACCCAGTAAAGCTGGTGGAGTAATTCAGTTCGAGTCCAAGGACTTGAGAGCCAGAGAAGCCAATGATATAAATTCTAGCCCAAGGGCAGAAGATGAGATGTCCCAGCTCAGTCAGTGAAAACAAAGAGAGCTAAATTTCCCTTCCCTCCTGTTTGGCTCTAGTCAGGCCCTCAGTGATGATGATGAATGATGCTGACCGTATCAGAGAGGGCAGTTACTTTACTGAAACCATCCATTCAAGTGTTAATCTCATCCAGAAACACCCTCACAGACACCACCTAAAATTAATGTTTCATCTCAGCGACCCAAAGCCAGTCAAGTTAATGGACAAAATTAGCTATCACTCACACACACACACGCACACACACGCACACACACACACACACACACACACACACATCAACATACTTGCTGAATCTCAAATGTATTCTTTAATGCAGATTATGGCTTAAAATGGCTTAAAAGGGGCTGGAGCGATAGTAAAGCGGGTAGGGCATTTGCCTTGCATGCGGCCAATCTGGGTTCGATCCACAGCATCCCATATGGTCCCCTGAGCACCACCAGGAGTAATTCCTAAATGCAGAGCCAGGACTAAAGCCTCTGCATTGCCGGGTGTGACCCAAAAAGAAACAAGAAAACGACTTAAAAACAAGACACCAGAAAGTCTCTAAGATATTGATATTGCTTCAAGTCACCATTTGCTGTCACAGAGAACTGAGACCCAAGGAGGATGCAGCAGAATCACTCTCCTGGCTAGAACAGTCCATACAGGGGCCATGTGTGTCCTTCTGAGCCAACATAATAACAAGAAAACACTGGGATTCTTTGCACTGCACAGCCCAGGGCTGGGAACTTACCTTGTGTTCCTTGGGCAGAGAAACACAGGGCAAATCTGACCCCACAGTATTCAGAGCATTAGGCCGGTGCTCTGTGGACACCTGTCACTTCTAGAGGATGACTCCTTCACCCCTAGCCCCTTTGAAGAAGCTCCCACAGCCCATTTGCTCTCTGCTCCCACAACAGCACCTCGTCTCAGAACAGGAGTAAAACCTTCACCCAAGGTTTTACTTCACCTCCAGCACCACGGAAGCTCATCTACGGGCGTTGCTCCAGACACTCATAAATAAATCTCAAAAGAGACCACGCAGCCACCAAAAACCTTCAGACACCCAAACATGGCTGAGGCAAAAAGTTTTATTAAAGACAAGTAAGGCATGATGATTACCATAACGAGCTCCAGATATAAAATAAAATTTAATTCGGTATACTTTAGATTCCAGAGTTGAGAACTTACTTATATAAATGAGAATAAGCATTTTTATTATATTGTATTAAAAGGTTTTGTTTTCCCTATTTACATAGGTTTAAAACATATAGCAATCACAAATTGGCTCTTACTGATTCATTTTTTTAATCTTTACTTTTATAAAGTTGTTCATGATAAATATCACATTTAATTTTCCAAAATCAATCCCACCACCATTGTATCTTCCCACCACAGGTATTTCCAATTTTCCCAACCACCACCCAATCCTGCCCCAATAGCTAGCTCTAAATAATTTATTTTGTGTTACTTATTATGAATAATTTGCTAAAAATGATCAGAAAAGCTTTCCTTAGAAGTGTGTGAAGACTGTTGTATCTCACCCTGGAACCATTAAGCCCTTGTATAAGAGATTACAAATATGTTTCAGGTTAAGCCTTGTGTGTTAATATTCTCTTAATCGAGATTGGCTACCTTCTCCTTTATAGCCCATCCAATGCTACTACTAGTATATCAGTGGTGTAGAGTTTGAGATGTTGCACTCCAGGAATTCTAAAATTTTGAATGGAGGTGATACAGCTGGAGTTAAATTTTTAACTGGATGATGACTTTAGGGTTCAAAAGCGTCTCTGCAGCTTGTTGATCTCTTTCGAGATTTGTTTATAAGTCTCTGGATCATGACAAGTTAATGACCTTATAATGGTGCCAGAGACAGTTCATGGGCAAGGCTGCCAGGCTCCCAGAAGAGCAAGGAGATGGGGGGAGGCAGCCCATCCCCAACTCTGTGAGAGCCTGGAGATTTCGGTCACAAAACCCATATACCTGAGTTTTTCCTGGATTCATTCCTGGATGAGGTTCGTCCCGAGACTGTGGAATCTTATTGGAGTGTGCTGATTTGTTTTCTAATATTCTCTTTGCCATCTTTTAAAGTTTTGTTGGAACAAGGAATATAAAGTAAATTTGTCATGTGCCTAAGGGGGCAAGTGGCGGGATGGAGGGAAAATGGGGACATTGGTGGAAAGAAGGTCATACTGGTGGTGTTGGGACACTAAATGCCTGAAACGACTGTATAATGAACAGCTTTGTAACTCATAGTGTTTTTAGTAAAATTTAAAAAAAATTTCATCCAAGCTCTAAATTACTCTCGCACACCGTTTTCTTCCAGATGATTTGCTCTGATGATTTGCTAAAGGCAAAGGAAAGTTTAAACTAAAGGCAAAAATTGTTCATTGTAGAGTCTTTTCCTGGCCAACCAGTCAAAAAGCACTGAGGGTTGTGCTAAGGGCACAGTCCCTAGGGGTGATGGTAGTGGTGACAGTGTTCTTGTCACCCTGGTCTCCTCTCTTCCTGGGCAGGGACCTCCACTCTCCTACTTGCAAGATTGCTGAGGGGTTTGACAAATAAGATTATAATTAAGAATTTTCTTTTTTTTAACAGACTTAGTGAAATTCATACTTAAAAAATACGTATAAATTTTGTCCCTTCAAAGAAGTGCTTCTGCCGTGAGTGAGACACATAGGGAAGCTCACTTGCTCTATGTGCAGAATCGACATCAAGAGATTTCAGAAGCATAATTTTTTGGCAGGAGGACAGCTGGTGATCTTGGTCCTCATGCATCCCCCCACCACCAAAAAAATTAATAACAATTGTCCCTTCAAAACTATAATCTTGGGAGACAAATCACTTTTTTTCAATGTTGCCTTCCATTTCCTTCAGTACCTCTGCTTTAGGGATAGAAATGGTTACCAATTAAAAAATCTCATTCATGGATCAGGCACATTCCACCCTCCACCCAATTAAATCCTACAGAAGCACTGTCCCCTCTAGACAAGGCAATGCTAGTTTTGTTCTATCTGAATCAAACTTCATCGGTGGCCATAAAAACTCTAATCCTCCATTTCAGTCATCACACTTGGCTCTAAATGACTTTAGGCTGTTTCCAGAAATCAAATCTACACTTGAAATGCAAAGAGTGACCCCCACAGAGAACAGTTAAGAGTGTGTCATATGCTCAGTGGGATTTCCCAAAATGGAGTTCCAGGAATATTTTGTACCATGGCAACATCTTTGCAGTAAATTCACAGCCTAGGATGACTACTATGATGAACGTGTGTGTGTGTGTGTGTGTATGCATGTGTGTATGTGTGTGTGTACGTATGCAAATGCGTTTCATCAGTCAGGGTTCCTTAGAGATGCCAGTTATACTTCCAGAAAGATCTTTCTATATGCCTGAGTGGATCCATTGAGCAGGAAAAATCAGGAAGATGGGGTCTTAGGAGTTTCCTTTCCTCAAAGGTGAAAGGGCACAGGTGAAGGGGCATGGCCACCTTGTCCCTTGAGCCCTCCTCTCTGGCCGGGCACCTTCCTTCCCATCCCATTGGCTACATTAATGGAGACTTTCCACAGAGGGTAACAGAGGACTAACTATCCTGTTTCCCAGGGAGGGAAGTGTTGGGGTTCACCTCCCCGTGGAAGACCTGCCCTGGGCCTGGTAGGCTTGGCCTGTTCTTCCTCTTCGGCAAGCCTTTTCTTTGCTGGGGTGACTGAGTTTTCTTATCCTGATGTGGCCACTCTGCAAGCTCAAGTCTATACCCCTGAGTCCATCGAGAAGAAACATTCTGGCATCACACTGGCCAAATGGGCTAGTGTTGCTTGTACCACCCCATGGCCCCTGAGTTCTCTCTTTAATCACAAATACCTCCCGCCAAGCCCCACACACAGTCTGAGATTCTTGTTTCACAGAGAAAAGCAACGATTCAGCAGGGCACACCTGGGTGGGATTCTATCCCTTCCTCCTGGGCCAGTAACTTTCTGGTGACCCAGTCCTTGGACTTCTTAATATTTTTACCTCTCTCAAAGAGAGCTCATTAGATAAGGACCAGGAGGATTGCTCCACAGCTTGGAAGCTGGCCTCACATGCTTGGGGAAAAGGCAGCTCAGATAGAGAAAGGACCAACAAGTAAAGGATGCTTGGAGGGCCCGCTCGGGATGGGAGATGCGTGCTGAAAGTAGACTACAGATCGATCATGATGGCCACTTAAATACCTGCATTGCAAACCACAACACCCTAAAGAAGAGAGAGAGAATAAAAGGGATATGCCTGCCACAGAGGCAGGGGCGGGAAGATGGGGGGAAAGGGATACTGGGAACGTTGGTGGTGGAGAACGGGCACAGGTGGAGGGATGGGTACTCAATCATTGTATGACTGGAACGTGAGCATGAAAGTCTGTAACTGTATCTCATGGTGATTCATTCATAAATAAATAAATGAATAAATAGAATAAATTTTTTAAAAAGTGAACTCATTATGTCGTGTGACTAAAATACCATTGAAGTCTTAATAGCTGACTCATATATTGTTGTCACCAGACCCTAGCTCCAAGAGTTTTTGGCATCTATGCAGACACTCCCCAACCTTCTTCCCTCCAGACCTCATCCTTCCCCAAGATCTTTCCCCCAAGCTCCTCCAGGAACCTTCCCTGTGCGAGTAAGTGGCAGCTGCATTCTTCCAGTCACATAGCCAAATGCCTTGACAGGTCCCTCTCCTTGCTCCGCAGTCAGTAAGTTTCACAGGATCTCCTTTCACAGAATATTCAGAGTTCGGTCATTTCTCACCACTCACTGGAGGTCCCCTGGTCTAAACCACCCTCATCTCCTTTCTTTATGGCAAGAAGAGCACTTACAAAAGGCCCTTTCAAACCTCAAGAACACCACCCACCCCTGAGAGCCAAGGCTATTTCTGCACCCCTGAGACCAGAAGGGGAGTCAGGCAGAGCTTACATCCTCTCCGCCCCCCTATCCCTCAACCACCCCTCCCCCCGTGCACACACACAGCTGGAACTTGGACAGCTTAGCGACATTGATAGAAAAGTTTTCCCTTCTCAGTTCTCTTTCAAAAGACCTTGCATGGGGGCTGGAGTGATAGCTTAGCAGGTAGGGCGTTTGCCTTGTACGCGGCCGATCCAGGTTCAATTCCCAGCATCCCATATGGTCCCTTGAGCACCACCAGGGGAAATTCCTGAGTGCAGAGCCAGGAGTAATCCCTGTGCATTGCCAGGTGTGACCCAAAAAGCAAAAAAAATACAAAAAACCTTGCATGTTACGGTTGGAACCATGCTCACCCCAAAACATTGAAGTACCTCCAGTCCAGTGTGGTCTATGTTTTTTTTTTTTTGCTTTTTGCTTTTCTTTTGCTTTTTTGGGGGAGGTGTCACAGGGTTTACTCCTGGCTCTGCACTCAGGAATTACTCCTGACAGTGCTCAAGGGATCATATGAGATTCTGGGGATCAAACCTGGGTTGACCACGTGCAAAGTAAACGCCCTTGCTGCTATGCTATAGCTCCAGCCAATCCAGTGTGGTCTTACCTGGAGACAGAAAGCCTGCAGCTGGGATTAAGATGATGCCAAAGCAGAGCAGGGCTTCTCTGAATTTGCCCAACTGTGTTCTTCTAGGATGACCCAGTGGAGACAGGTTCTCAGGGGGCAGTCATGAATGTAAGCACTGAAGACAGATAAAAGTAATGTCTTCATTACTTCCCAAGGGCCTCGGTCACCAGCAATGGTGGTGAATCCAGGGCCTGGGGTGGCCAATGGCCACCAGACGCTCCCCACAGTTCAGAGACAATACAGTCCTTGAACACCTTAATTCTGAACTTTCAGTCCCCAGAACTGTACAGCAACCAATTGCTGTTGCTTGAGCCACCCAATTTGCAGCCACCCTAGGAAGCTAGCACGAATCCTGAGCGTTTCCAGCAGAGCGCTCATTGGGGCTGGCGGCTTTTTAATGCCTTTCCCACTCTTGCTCATTTTCCTTCTCACAACGCAGAAACCCATCCTCAGGCTAAGAGCTTTCATCAGGAAAGGCACCTAACTAAATTTTAATAACCTTGTTTTGATCTCATTATATTTGTTTTTGTGTGTGTGTGATTGCCATCTATTTCTGGCAAGCGGTAACTAGTTTTCCTTGCACACGTGTAAAACAACATTTCATTTTTAAATAAATAGATTAAGTTAAAAATAAGTTCAAGAAAGATTTGCCGTATTAATAAAAGTAGCCTAAAATATGGCCCAAAAAAAGAGCAAATGGAAACTGAAACGTGGCATAGACAGTCTCAAGGAAAGTCGAGACGAGCTAGTCACTATCTGGCTGCCTCTATGATGAAATCACAGGAGCAAAGCATATGAAAATGACAAGCCATTCAATATTAGAAAAATATGACATGGCAAGGAGCAATAGTACAGTGGGGAGGGCACTGGCTTTATACCTAGGTTTGATCCCTAGCATCCCACATGGTCCCCTGAGCTTCCAGGACTGATCTTTGATCATAGAGCCAGGAGTAAGCCCTGAGCACCGCTGGGTATGACCCCCCAAACACACACACATATACACATACATGTATATCACTGTATCACTGTCATCCCGTTGTTCATCGATTTCCTTGAGCAGGCACCAGTAACGTCTCCATTCATCCTAGCCCTGAAATTTAAACAAGTGCCACATTGGAGGCTCTTTCAGGGTCAGGGGAATGAGACCCATCACTGGTACTGGGTTTTGGCATATTGAATACACCATGCGGAGCTTGCCAGACTCTGCTGTGCGAGCAGGATACTCTCAGTAGCCTGCCGGTTCTCAGAGAGGGAGAACTAGGCAATAAGAGGTCTAGGAGCTTGGTTTTATAGTCTCTGGGGGCAGTTGGTGGGTGTAACGCCTAGCTACTGGAAGATGGGAGATCTAGGTGAAAGAGGCCCAGTCCCCATCCAAGCAGGCTTGGACATCTCAGCCCAGGGTCCCGCACACCTCGGTTCCTCTGCTGATTCCTTCATGCATGAGGCTTGTCCGAGCGCGTGGAGAGTGGTCTTAAGCATGGTAAGCATGGCTGTGGCTGGTTCCAGAGGTCTTCAGCTGCCGGGGCTCTGCTGGGGGCGGGGAGAGAAAGCCAACCCGCCCCCCTCTAAGGGGTCCCAGTGAGGACAGCCAGGCGTGGGGGACAGGAGACTCTCTCTCTTTCTCTCTCTCTCTCTATATATATATATATATTATATATAAGTATATATATACACACACATATGTGTGTATACATATATAGACATATATGTATACATATATATGTGTATATGTGACATGGCAAAATAAATTATCTTTGTGTCTTTCAGCAAGAGAGTATGGAAGGCAGTTTCTCTGCTTTCCTCATCCCCTTGTTGGCCCGCCCTCAAACTCCTGCCCAGAGTCTACACAGGGCAGGTGTGTCTCTTGTTACTGAAGAAACCAGATCTCAGAAGCTGACCCCACTGAGCTAGAGTCAGAGGGAAGGGTAACAGCAACGCACTTTCACCTCCACCATGGACTGACCTTGAACAAACCCCTTCCGCTCCCCACTCCCCCCCCCCCCTCCTACTTCCTCTAACGGACAGATCAGACTATCCACAGCATCTCTTCCCACTCTAAATTCTATGCCTCCAGAATGCTAGTGATATAATGCATTCCCCTCTTAGGGACGTATTTTTCACTTTCAAGGAGACCCCGGGAAAGGAATGAATTTATTCACAGAAATGATTTCTTAACAGAGGGATTCTAGGTACAGTGCCACATGGAGAGAAACATCATAAGGGTGGTGGGATAG